ATCATTGCCGGGCTTGTCACAACGCCGCCGACACTGCCGTACGGATCATTGTTCCCAGATCGCTCATGGAGACGCCCGAACAACACCTGCTCACGTTGGCCAACACATCTCATTTCTGCTTGCGCTATTGCCGAGTTCCGCGAAAGCTTTGGGATGATAGGACTGTGGAGGAGGATATGGGATCTTCGGAAAACAACTAGACTTGAACAATCGGTGTGTGCGCATGCACAGATTGCGTGGGCCTTTGAATAGTTCATTGCAACGAATACGCGGATTCCAACAACTGGCTTATTGTCTTGTAGCCGGCCAACGTTGGATGGCCAGAACGGTCCTGGCAACAGACACGGTCAAAATCATCTTTGTCATGATGTTTGAGAACGTCAAGTGTGTTTTCTGGATACCTGCGGAGTAATGCTTCATATTGCCCGTGCGCGGGAATCTGCTTCGAGCGCCCCTGCTTGTTGAACGTGCGCTTGGCCAAGCACCAAAACAAAAGTTTGATTTGAGGCATTTCCTCCAATATGAAATCAATGCAGCGCAAAGAGTGGTCAACAAGTAAATCGTTGTTCGCTGGTGTGATGAGGTCTCTTCGAACATTGTCGGCGTAGAAATCCGACCACAAAAAAAGATCCCGAGCTGACCTTCCCCCTTGCAATGCTCGAAGACGGTCCACATCTTTGTTCCCAAAGAACCAATTGCTTACACACCAGACCACTTGGCCATATGAGCTGTAGGCCCGTCGTAAGAGGCGCAGTGTGATCTGATTGAAAACAGGTAGTGAGGCCACTCCCAAAACATGTTGCTTATGAGCAAACTTCCCACCAACTTCTAGAACATCACCCTCGACTTCTTCCCAAGGGTACCTGGCAACAGCCAGCGCCTTACGTTCAAAATGAGACGGTCCTAATGCAAATGTATCAACTGATCTCCTCGACGAACCCACGATGGCGGGTCGTCCCGAGCTCGACCCTGCTTGCAGCCCACGGGCATAGACATCCACCCAACAATCTCTGCAACGCCACACATCCTCGCTATCACGAGGACCTCGCCCAGAATAACCACTATTGAGATTGACTGCCCTGCCACAACAAGCACACGCATTGCAAACCGGAATGCGCCTGAACATGGCAACGGAACAAGACAGTGCCATCGTCAAATAACCAGTGACAAGACGGCGTCGACGCACGCGCGCGCAACCATGACCAGATCGTAGTTGCCGCAGATTGGGCCACATTGTCCGAGCACGTAGCATTCAAGCTTGACTGAACCTCGGGCTTGTCAGCATACGCGCATTGCAACGTGGCCGACGTCTGTCTTCTGAAGTGCGCGAGGGATGAGCCCTCCCACAAAACACAAAAGCACACACGGGCATTGGCTTGGGCCCAAACCGCCTCCATATATCAAGAAACGCGTCAGGCTGTTTCCGCCTACCAGCCACGTCCTAAGATTTGCGTAGGACTTGCCATGTGCATTTCAAGGTGGTGCTACTACGTATATAGCCATGTACTGCAGACTCAACAGGCCAAACATGTGAGAGAGCGTGATCCACCGCCGCTTTACTGGGGAAAATTCCCCCCCCTCTTCTTCCGGAACCCGCCCGGGGGTCCCCCCCCCCCCCGGCAAAAACCCCCCCCTCCCCTACCCCCCCCCTCCCCCTCGAAAACCGGGGGAGATCACGTATACCGGTTCGAACCCCCCCCCTCGAAAACCGGAGGGGGGTCACTACCGGTTCGAACCCCCCCCCCTCACCGCCAGCAAACGACTCCCGGTCCCTACCACCGTCCGCACCACATCCCCCACTGTTGTTCCCAGCACCACTGTCCTCACCACCAATGTCCCCACTGGTTCCACCACCGTCCCTACTGTCTCCCCCCACCACTGTCGCACTGTCCCCACTGTCCCCACCACTGTTCCCACCACGGTTCCACTCTCCCCACTTTCTTCACGGCCCAATCACTGCCCGACTATCCCCACTGTCCCCACTGTCCCACTGACTCCTCCGCTGTCCCACTGAGCTGTCCCACTGTTCCCACCACTGTCCCCACTGTCCCCACCACTGTCCCCACTGTACCTCTGTCCCATTGTCCCACCGCCGTCCTCGCCACCGCCTTCACCACTGTCCCCGCCACCACTGTACCCTCCACTATCCCGCTGTTTCCACCACATTCCCACTGTCCCCACACCACTGTCCCCACCACCACCGTCCCCACCACTGTCCTACTGTCCCCACTGTTCCCACCATTATCCTCACCACTGTCCCCACCACTACCGTCCCCACCACTGTCCCACTGTCCCCACCACTGTCCCGCTGTCACCTCACCACTGTCCCCACCACCACCGTCCCCACCACTGTCCGCACCCCCCCCGGTTTTCGAGGGGGGGGGGGTTCGAACCGGTAGTGAACACCCCTCGGTTTTCGAGGGGGGGGGGTTCGAACCGGTAGTGACCCCCTCCCTTTTCATGATGGACTGGGGGGGGGGAGGGATTCGAACTGGTGGTGACCCCCCCGGTTTTCCGGAGGGGGGGGGGGAGGGGGAAGGGTTCGAACCGGTAGTGACACCCCCCAGTTTTCCGCCAGCAGCGGTAGAACACGCTCTTTCAAACATGTACACACGAAGTCTGATTCAATGGGGGTAAGCTGATACAGTGCCATACTCTGCTGTGCCGGGTCCTTCACAACGCCGTGCGAGTCGATGCAACGCGACGCACTACACACCCATCAAGTTCACTGCAAGGCATTGCGCGCGGCACGCAGGCCTGGCCGCCCCCCCCCCCCTCACTGGGAGCGCGCGCGGGGCTCAGCGCCGACCCCCGGCACCTGTGCTGGCCAGCTGGCTCCGCAGCCAGGAGGGGAAGAACACTGCGTCCAGGTCGGCCTGTCGACGCCGGCCCCGGCCGAGCCCCAGCCACACGCAGGAGTGACTCTGTGGGGCGGGGCGGCAGGGAGGGAGGGGGTGCCAAGCCGTCTGAACCGGGGGCGGCAGGGAGGGGGGGCGGGAGGGGCAAGGGGGCGGGGGGGGGTGCAGGGGGGCGGAAGGGTGGGAGGGCGGGGCGGCAGGGGGGCGGGGCGGCAGGGGGGCGGAAGGGCGGGGGGCGGAAGGGCGGGGGGCTGCTCAGCAGGAGAGCGGACGGGCGGGGGGGGGGTGCAAACCCAACCGCCTTGCCGCTGCTGCGCATCACTTTCAGCGATCGAGGGGCCCCCATGAGTCCGAACCAAAAGGTCACTCCGGCGAATGGGCTCCCTCCCGTGTCGCCGAGCCCCCACCTTCGCACGGCGGCCCGTCGGCCTTCGGAGGATCTCTGGAGGTCTCCCAGGAACGTGCGACGGGCTCACGCCGCGATGACGTTGGCGTTGATCTCCGACGCCGCGTGGAGCGTTCAGCCTTCAGCGGTCGCGGCCGTCCGATCGCGCAAGCCGCTCGACATCGGCCGGTTCTGGGCTGCCTGCGGCGTGCAGCCCCGAGCGCCTGCGCCGGGGCCGCCGCCGCATCAGTGCGGCGCGAACCTGCCGCTCTTCTCGGGGAGGGGGGGATGAAGGGGCCCTGGGACACACAAAAAAATACACACAGATAACAGGATTCCCCATATTTTCTCATATTTTCTGGGTTTTTGTCTTTCCCCCCACTTCCCCTATTTTCCCAGACGTTCCTTGGAATCGGCGATTGATTGTGTCTGTGTTTTTTCCCCTCCTGAGAGGAGTGAGGGCGGGAGGGAGGAGCAAGAGGAGGGGGGGGTGGCTCTGGGATGTCTTGGTTCCTTTTTTCTGGGCCTCCAGAGGCTTTCAAGAGGGACCGACGTCCAGGCCTGCTCGGAACAGGTCGCGCTGGAACGTTCTCGCAATCTTCGGGTCGGGAATCTGTCTCTCAGGGCCCTAAGGCCGCAGCGCAAACAAAAATATTCGGGATGGAACGCCACTCCCAGGGACGCGGTCGAGAGTTGCATGGGACCAGCTGTTCGAGCAAGGCATGTCTGGGCTCTTCCTGGGGAGAGCAGACGAGGGGGGGAGGGTCTCCCCCTCGTCGCGACGGCTGGGCCGTCGCTTGGAAAACGTTGCTATACGTTATGTTCTTCGGTCTGCTCGACCCATTTTCCTGTACCTCCCTGCCAAAACGAGACACAGAACACAACCGACATCCAACAAAACAGCGTTCAGGTCCAGCCCTGGTCAGGAGGGTGCGGATTCGGTTGTGCGGGCGTCGCCACAAAATCGCGTCTAGCGTCCTGGGCCTGCTTTTCGGACCCGTGGGGCCGTGGCGGATCGACCCGGCTAGAGGAACGTCGTGCAACGTTTTTATTATTACTAATAGTTTTGTTTCTATATACATATATATATATATGTATGTATATATATATATATATATATAAACGACATATGTATAAAAAAGAAAAAACATCGTGGTGAAGGTGTTCTTGTGTCTCGCCGCGTCGGATATCTGGCAGAGGAGGGGAAGGACTGGCCGTGAGGCGAGGGGCAGGGGAGGGAGGGGGGAGAGAAGGGGGAGAGGGATGGAGGAGAGGAGGAGGAGGAGGGAGGAGGAGGAGGAGGAGGAGGAGGAGGAGGAGGAGGAGGAGGAGGAGGAGGAGGAGGAGGAGGAGGAGGAGGAGGAGGAGGTCGGTCGGTCGCTGCATCGGGCCTCGGGTCGAAGATCACTCAACCACAACTACACATCAGAACGCATCGATATGTACGACCTGCAGTGCGCGCACAGGCATAGGAAAACACGGCGTGCCCTCCCTGGGAGCCCCGAATTGCCTTCGCTCTACCATTTACGGTGAGACTCGAGGATTTTCAAGCGTTCAGTTAGACTGAGTTTTGCGAATTGCTCTACGTCTGCTGTTCTATTGCTACGTTTCGACATCACCTGAACCTGTACACTACTACTACTAACTGGCTGAGGGGGAGGAGGAGGAGGAGGAGGAGGAGGAGGAGGAGGAGGAGGAGAAGGGGGCGAGGCAGCGGGAGCGAAGACGGATAGTGACCACGATTTGAGACCTCTTATTCAAGGTCCACTTCTGTAGCGGGGATCCTGGGGATGGCCAAAAAGCAGAATGCGATTGTTCGAGGACTGGCAACGCGTGGACGTGCAACACAACGGGTGCGAGTGCCAACTAACACATGCCCAATCATCCCTAAACTCGTCGAACAACTTAACTATCTTTTGAAAAGACTTGAAGGGCAATGCAAGCCTGAAACTCATCGCCCTTGCACTGCATGCAAGATCCCTGGCGGTGACGGGTGGTGAGGGCATGAATAGCTGCTTGAGGACGACGGTGGGCACGGACTTTGCAGGATCACCGCCGAGCGACTCAAGCGCATATTGTTCAACCTGGAGGCCACGGAGGTGAGTGAAAGTACTGACCGACGAAGGTGAGGGATGAGAAGGTGGTCCTGTCGTAAGCTGCAATGGACCTGTGTATCCCCCGAACACGACATTGGAACTTACATATGGGGACTCTCTAATATAACCAGTGGCTGTGGTCTCGAACATGTCGATGGTGCCCTCGAACATGTCGACACCGAATTGGTGAACGTCTGTTGAGACTTCGTCGTGCTCGTAGGTCAGTGTACGAACTTTGTACGGGGCTGGTGCATGATGAGCAACATGTTGGACATCGTATACAGAACACGGCTGGCTCATGCAACAATGTCTCCGCAAGACGGGCATGGGCTTCTACGACATCTGCCAAGCCATCAGCTCCCCGATCCACTTCACGATGCTCTTCGTGCGTGCGCCTATGGGCGTACCCGACCAATGATCAACGCGCTGCGAGCCCTCTACCGCGATGTCTGGCTCCAGGTGCCGTGCCGTGTCTGCAGAGGCGTTGTTTGTCACTGCTTGAGGGGCGTCAAGCAGGGCTGACCCGCCTCGGGCTCCTTGCGGGTACAAATATTTGCTGTCCTTCGACAACTTTGGTGCAAGCTTCCGCGTCATCGTAACCAGCCTAGAGCAGTTGCTGACGACGTGGCGAGTGCTGCTGCCGATATCGTACTTAACATTGCCTCATCTCGGCTCTCCTGGACCTTAGCTCAGTTCGGCCTGGATGCCGCCTTGCATGCTCGCAACATCGTCGTGATCCTCCCTGCCTCCTGCGAGCACGAGGAGGAAGGTGGGGGAGGGAGAAGGAGGAGGCGGCGAGGAGCAGCGGGAGCGAGAAGGCACGGAGCGAGGCGATGGGGCACGAAGGGAGGGGCGAGAGGATCGGGGTCCCAAAGTGACACGGAGCGAGGCGATGGGGCACGAAGGGAGGGGCGAGAGGATCGGGGTCCCAACATCGTGTGGTGACGGACCGCGCGGGGACCTCGAGATTCCCCACGACCTCGCCGCGCGGTCCGCCAGCACACCATCCTGGGACCCTGGAGGCCCCGCTCGCCCGAGGCGTCCTCGAAGACAGGACCCAAGTCCCGAAACCGCGCGGGGACCTCGAGACCCACGACCTCACCGCGCGGTGTGGCCACCGTACGGGCTTGGGGGCCCCCAGCAAGGAGGGGAGAAAGGAACGCAGCGGACATGGAGCATGGACTGGCCTACAGTCGGCTTCGGTTGGACAGGACACGCGAGAGGACACAGGACCCTTCCGAGGGCCACATCGCCATAGGAGTGCAAGAAGGCACGCGTCGCGAGGCACAAGACACAAAGGGTACCCTTGAGCTGGCAAGGTCGACCTACTAATCCGGGCCGACTGTAGTCCACAGATCTGGGTCCGGAAGTGAAAGCGGTGAACCACAGCAGGGAACAGGGGGCATCAGCCACCCTCGCGGTGCAGCTCGCATCGAGTGGCCCCGCCCTTGCTGGCGAAGCGACGAGTGCGCACACAAGCGCGGCTCTCAGAAGGCAGGGAACGGGAGCCAGAAAGGGGAGGGGGGCAGGAAGCAAGAGGGGACGAGGCGCGGGAGGAGGCGCACTGCTTGGCGCAGCTCTGGCCTTGACTGTCCACCTCTGCTTCTTCGCGTGGCCCTCGCGGACGACCTCGCGGGAGCCCCGGCGCGGAGGGCGGCTGAGGGCCACGACTCGTCGCGCAACAGGGGGCCCTCCACCGCGAAGCTGACCTAACACTCCCCCGAGAACTTCGAGAGGCAATGGGCGTGCTGAGAGAACTGCGCGTCCTTTCGACTCCGAGCTTGGCTTCGAAAGAATACGTTCCACTATCTTTTGCTTTGAGTCCACAATCTGTGCTTGCACTCGGTGGTATTGCTTGATGCTCGGAATCAATTGGCTGGCGTTACTGGCCTTCGCTTAGTGACCGCTCGTGCCGGCATCGTGCTCGCCCCGTGCGTTGGCTGGCGCTTCTTGGCTTGCTTTGAGCCCCGAGTCATCAGGGCTGGGGGCGGTCAGGAGTAACTGCAGATCGGGGCCTCGGGGGCCCTCACTGCGTTACCCCGGACCGCAGCTCATCCGAATACTTCGGCGTCCCACCCTCCCGAATCATCACGGCTGGGGGCAGTCAAGGGAAACTGCAGATTCGCGCCTCGGGGCAAACCGAACACAGCCCGGACCGCAATCATCCCGGATAATCCGGGCGTCCAATTTGCGCCTAGAGCCCGCCCAGGCCGGCCTCGTGCCGCCCCGCGTACGCTGGCTGTCGATGCCGGCGGGTCTTCGAACGGTGCCCGCCCCTGGGAAGTCGAATTGAGGGACATCGCAGGCCAGATCCGAGCGACGTCCGAAGTGAGTCTAGCCTTGCTTGCCCTGGCCGCGGTACGGCTTCGTTTCCTCAATCTGCATGCCTTTGTTGCGGTTCGCTTTCGCTCTGCCAGTTTTCTGTTCCATCTCTTATTGGCATGCGATTTTCACACGTGACGTTCTATGCCGTTCGCCTGTTCGGCAACTTTGTTTTCGGCGCGTGGTGGGATGCAGCCATAGACTGGGGACGCACACTGCCCCCAGGATACCTCTATGATGCAGTGGTCGAGCTCACGGGCGCGATGGTGGTCCGTGGGAAAGATTACCAGGCTCTCTCTTTCCCACAAGGTGTGGCATCGTGCTGGTTAAAGACTAAACGAATTACGACAGAACCCCATCCTCATCCTGCTGCTCCGCTCCCTTCCACCATTTCTCCCTCCCTTCCTACTCCTCCTCCGTTTCCTCCCCCATTTTCCTACTCCTTCCTGTCATCCCCACCCTCCACTTTATCTTCGTTCTTCTCCTTGTCTTCCTCCTCTTCTCCTCCCGCCTCGAATTCCATCCTCTTACCATCCCCTACACTTTCTCTGTCCTTGTCCTCCTCGTCGTCTTCCTCCTCTCCTTTACTGCTGCTGCTCCTCTTTTTCCTCCTATTTTCTACCGTCTTCCCGTTGATGATCTCTGACCTGGCATCCTCGAACCCGAGACTTTCGAACGGGCGAATAACGAGCAGGACGAGATGGCAGATGAGCCTGCCTTGAAGGAGGTATGGGTGCAATGGGTAAGGAGGGAGGAGCGAGGAGGGTGAGGGAGGAGGAGGATGACGATAATCAGACGATGATAGTCATGAGAATTATCCCAGTGCGACCCTACCTAGGAGTTGGAGCCCCTAGGAAAGCAGCATTAGTAGTAACAGTAAAGCTAAGCTAAAGCTAAGCTACAGCTAAGCTAAATCTAAGCTAAAGCTAAGCTAAAGCTAAAGCTAAGCTAAAGCTAAGCTAAAGCACTAAAGCTAAGCTAAAGCTGAGCTACAGCTGAGCTACAGCTAAGCTAAAGCTAAGCTAACGCTAAGCTAAAGCTAAAGCTAAAGCTAAAACTAAGCTGAAACTAAGCTAAAGCTAAGCTAAAGCTAAGCTAACGCTAAGCTAACGCTAAGCTGAAGCTAAGCTAAAGCTAAGCCAACGCTAAGCTAAAGCTAAGCTAAAGCTAGCTAAAGCTAAGCTAAAGCTAAGCTAAAGCTAAGCTAAAGCTAAGCTAAAGCTAAGCTAATTATAAGCTAAAGCTAAGCTGAAGCTAAGCTAAAGCTAAGCTAAAGCTAAGCTAAAGCTAAGCTAAAGCTAAAGTTAAAGCTAAAGCTAAAGGTAAAGCTAAAGCTCCCAGGGGACTGGGGGAACCGCGGGGCGGGGACTGGGGGAACCGCCCGGGGCGCTTTGCACTGCCTGGCCCCTTTAAGCTAAGAGAGTAAGAACCCTCTAGGCAGAGCCTAGGTAGGGAACAATCATGCAACCAAAACCATTTGGCTGGTGTAATCACTCTGTAGGTCGCCCCAAGCAGTCCAGACGACGAGTCCCAAACTTCGCGAGTGTGGCCACACCACCACCACCACAAAAAGATCTACAGCACGCGTTAGCGCTGCAGCGTTCGATCTGTTATGTCGTATTCGGCATCCCTCGCAAGAGCATAAGATGTAGTGGAATAGTACGCGGTTTCACACGAAAGTAGGCAGACGCAATCTGACGCACGCAGAGCAAGACGGACGCAGGTAGATGCAAGAACAAACAGATGGACAGACATTACCAAAATTATCCCAGTGCGACCCTACCTAGGAGTTGGAGCCCCTAGGAAAGCAGCATTAGTAGTAACAGTAAAGCTAAGATAACGCTAAGCTAAAACTAAGCTAAAGCTAAGCTGAAGCTAAGCTAAAGCTAAGCTAACGCTAAGCTAAGGCTAAGCTAACACTAAGCTAAAGCTAAGCTAAAGCTAAGCTGAAGCTAAGCTAAAGCTAAGCTAACGCTAAGCTAAAGCTAAACTAGAGCAACAGCTACATCTAAGCTAAAGCTAAGCTAAAGCTAATCTGAAGCTAAGCTAAAGCTAAGCTAAAGCTAAGCTGAAGCTAAGCGAAAGCTAAGCTAAAGCTAAGCTAAGGCTAAGCTAAAGCTAAGCTAAAGCTAAGCTAAGGCTAAGCTGAAGCTAAGCTAAAGCTAAGCTAAATCTAAGCTAACGCTAAGCTAAATCTAAGCTAAATCTAAGCTAAAGCTAAGCTACAGCTAAGCTAAAGCTAAGCTAAAGCTAAGCTAAAGCTAAGCTGACGCTAAGCTAAATCTAAGCTAAAACTAAGCTAAAGCTAAGCTAAAGCTAAGCTAAAGCTAAGCTAGCACTAAGCTAAAGCTAAGCTAACACTAAGCTGAAGCTAAGCTAAAGCTAAGCTAAAGCTAAGCTAAATCTAAGCTAACACTAAGCTGAAGCTAAGCTAAATCTAAGCTAAAGCTAAGCTAAAGCTGAGGTAAGGCCAAGCTAACACTAAGCTGAAGCTAAGCTAACACTAAGCTGAAACTAAACTAAAGCTAAGCTAAAGCTAAGCTAAATCCAAGCTAGCACTAAGCTAAAGCTAAGCTAAAGCTAAGCTAAAGCTAAGCTAAAGCTAAAGCTAAAGCTAAGCTAAAGCTAAAGCTAAGGCTAAAGCTCCCAGGGGACTGGGGGAACCGCGGGGCGGGGACTGGGGGAACCGCCTGGGGCGGTTAGCACTGCCCGGCCCTTTAAGCAAAGAGAGTAAGAACCCTTCTAGGCAGAGCCTAGGTAGGGAAAAAGGATGAATGATGGTGGGTGTGATGATGGTGATGGTGATGAAGACAATTTGGCAGATAGTGATTATGATGACGATGATGATGCTGCTGTTGCTGCTGATGATGGTTACAATGATGACGAGGACGAGGATGATGATGAGGAGAAGGATGAGGAGTTGAAAGACAAGGAGGAGCATATGCAGAGTGGGAGCAGGCAGCTGCAGCTTCTTGACTAGCATACCCTCCCCCATCTGCTTCTTGATTATGCTCACAGCGGTCCACCATCCCCTCCGTCGCCGCCTTCCTCCATGGACGGGCGCAAACGAGGTTTTCCCACACCCCTTCTAGCGCAGAGAGGGGGCATGACCGGACGCTGCTCCAGAGAGCCAAATGCCGCCAGCTCGAAGCTCGAAGGAGGAGGAGGAGGAGGAGGGATGAGGAGACTGAGCAGGAGGTTGAGGAGGAGGAGAAGGAGGATGAGGAGGAAGGAGGAGGAGGAGGTCGAGGAGGAGATCCCTTGGATGCCTATGGCTGTTGCGTATGCCTGTCCTGTGTGCATGTGCGGGTGACACTACTTGTGCTTAAGCAATGTGTTCCGCAAAGGGACGTGGCTGCAAGGGCGGTGCAGGGGCGAAACTGCCTACAAAAGCAGCCTCACTGGTGGACGTGCTTCGGAGCCATGCTCGTAGCCTACGCTGGGACTTTCGCCCTCTCGCGGATGGCGGCGAACGTGTCGTCTACCAACAGGTTGCCATCACGGAAGACCTCCACGAGCTTGTCCAGGGATGGGTTGCCCTTGCCCTCAGTCACAGTCGTCCACTGCCCACCATTCAGCTCCAAGGTCAGCTTGCCATTTTTGAACTTTTTCCCAGGCTCGGTGATAGGATCCTTGACCACGTCGACGTCCTGACCCTTGATCAACGCGTAGGAGCACTTGAACGCGCACTTCTGCGTGTCCCCGTGCATCTTCTGGAGCAGTGCCCCGCCACTGCCGAACGCCAGGTTGTCTGCGGCCCACTTTTTGTCTTTCATGGCCTGCAAGACGACTTCCAGAGACTTGATGTCGGCGCCGTCTCCCTGGACTACGCGGATACAGTCTGGCATCACCCTGTGACCTGTGGACGTCGTTGTGGATCCAAACTTGGTTTTCAACTTCTCCAGGACCTGCAGCACAATGCCCGGAAACTTCCCGCTGTCCGGGCGAACGACGAGCACGCCGTCGCGCTTCTCTATGGTGGTCTTCAGCTCGGTGCCCCAGTAGTCCGTGCACGCCTTGAAGATGTCGTAGCTGTCGCTCACGCACTCCACGAGGCCCGTGGGGGACATCTCCAGCATATTCCTCATCGCGCTCACCTCGCCCTCCCTGCCCCAGCTGGTCATGGTGCTGTGCTCGGAGGCGGGGATCGAAAATCCGCCGCACGGCTCCCCGTTGAACTTCCTTAGCATCACCAGCGCGGCCATCGTGTCGGTGCCGAGGAAATTCACGAGATGCGCGCCGCCGCCAGTCGCGACCGACTCCACCGAGGACACCCCGCGGAAGCCGAAGTCGTGCATGCATTTTGAACATGTGCCCGCCGCCCTCGATCACGGCCGCGGAGCCTGTTTCCTTGAGGTACCACATGATAATCTTCTTCATGTCGCGGCTCTGGGTGCACACCGTCATGGCGTACCAAACCTGCACCAGCAGCGTCTCGAGGTAGTTCGCGAGCCAGAAGCACTTCGTGTCGGTGTTCTCCAGGGTGAACGGGACGTTCTTGTACGGGAGGACTGTCCCCTCGGGCACCGCCTTGATGACAACTGGCAGGTGCTTACCGTGCTGCTTCAGGATGTACTCCCAAGCCTCGCGATTGAACAGCTTGCTGTCGTAGCCCCAGACCGGGTGCGCGAAGTGTATCTTGAAGTATTCCTCGGCGTCATTGACGGCTTCGGGCGTGACCACCGGTCCGACCATGTACTTCTTGAGGTAGTACTGGAGTCCGAAAAAGCACACCTCGGGGAACTGACCGCCGCGGCACTCGAAGTATGAGTAGATCTTCTCAGTGCCAGGAGGGTGCTGCAAATGATGGGTGACCTTATAAGAGTCCGTGAGCAGGACTATATTGTTGAACGCGTCCCCGGCTACACCAAATGACTTCGAGACTTGGTTCGGGGGCGACGGTGTGCCATTTAGAGCGATTCCTGATCAATGTATCATCTACCAGCAACCGCCCATCTTTGAACACCTCCACCAGCTGATCAACCTTGGGGTCATCCTTGCCTTCGGTTGCCGTCGTCCACACGCCGTCGCGCAACTCGAGGGTCAACCTTCCCTTCTTCGACTTCTTGCCCGGATCCGTGATGGGATTTTTCACCGCGTCAGCATTCTTGCCTTTGATCAGAGCGTACGAACACTTGAACGCACACTTTTGGGTGTCCCTGTGCATCTTCTGGAGAAGGGCGCCACCACTGCCGAACGCCAAGCTGTCGGCAGCCCATCTGTCCTTGCGCATCGCCTCCAGGACCATCTCGACAGACTTGATATCCACCCCGTCGCCTTGGATCACGCATATGCATGGAGGCAAGAGCTTGTGCCCCGTCTCGGTCTGCGTGCTCACGAACTTACTCTCGAGCTTCTCGAACACCTGCAGGACGATGCCTGGCAGCTCGCCGCTGTCGGGGCGCACGACGAGGACGCCGCCGCTCTTCTCGATCGTTGCCTTCAGCTCGGTCCCCCAGTAGTCTGTGCAAGCCTTGAAGATGTCGCACAGTGCGGGCGCGGCCGCAAGAAACCCTCGCAAGAAACCCAAGCCTGAGAACCCGTGCGCGAGGTACACCTGAGGGGAAGCCCGGAGCATCCCGAACGCAGCAGCTCCTTCAACGGCTGTGGGGAGTCACCGCGCAGCGCGAGGAGCGAAGAAACCCAGGATACCCTGACGAAGAGCATCTGATTTCTTGATGCGCGCTCCCAGTGTAGCTGTCGCTCATGCACGCAACAAGCCCTTTCGGGTACTGGGTCAGCATGTTTCTCATGGCTTCAACATCGCCCTCCCTGCCCCAAGACGTCATCGTGCTGTGTTCGGAGGCGGGTATTGAGAACCCGGCGCAAGGCTCCCCGTAGAACTCCTGTGTAGAAGATGGTGTAACTCTCGGAGCCCTCGACAAAAATGATGATGCTGTCAAACAAGAAGTCCACCTCGGAACAGGCGCCGTAGCCCCCGTCCAATGTGTCCCTTGTGCCATCAAAAATGAAGTACTCCGTGACATCTTGAAGGTTGTTGACAAAATTGCTGTCGGAGAAGATGGACAGGGTGGGCCACGCACCGAAGGGGAACTCGCACCATAGTAACATTTGGCCCATCTGCGCAAATGTAGACCACTCCATTGAAAAATAGCAGTCAAAAAATTCCGGCCGTTGAAATGTGTGCCAGCTCCTAGAGGCAGTCCGCCTCTCTCCTTCGGGGCGGCCGCCGTTCTGGCCCCTGGGCTGGCTGAAGTCGCCTCCGACCAGGGGCCAGGCACCGACGGCATCACTGACCACGGCCCCCTCTCCCCCTCCCTCGACCGCCTTTCGGCTTGGACTTGAGTGCTCCCCACAACTGTTGTTCGTCCGTAGTCTGGAAGCAGCGAGCAAGCTCGAGGACGATGCCATTCGTCGGATCCTTCCACGCCATGATCTTCGCGAACGCCTCGAGGAACGCATCTGGTGTGACATCGGTAAAGGTAAGCGTCCACTTCCACGTGCGATCCGTGAGAGGCTTGGAGTAGCGAGACGTAAATTCTCCCACCCAGAACTTGATCTGAGCTGCTGGCGTGGTCGCGAGCTGCTTCAAAGCTGTAACAGCAGCTTCGCCAGCGGTATCCTGCAGGTTCTTCTGAGCATATTCGGTGATGATCGGCGTGAGGAACCTCCAACATCGGAATGAAAGCGAACGTGTGTTTGGCCATCTCCAAAGGATGCTTGGGAAAGTTTCTCTGCTTGCGCATCTCCTCGGTGATCTCGGGCTTCTGGTCAATATCTGTCTGGGTCATGGCGCGAAAGGCGGCGGCATTGGCATTCGACTTCAGAAGAAATACAATCTGCTTCGCCGCCAAGGCTGGGCGAGCTGAAGCTTTGAAATTCAAATAATCTCGAAGGAACATCGCGTTGACCTCGTCGGGCTGGCCCCCGCCGTCGGCCGTTCTCCGAGACTTGGCGTCGGGGGCACCGGGACCAGCCTGCGTGCCAGGTTCGTCCTTCCTTCCCTCCTCGACCTTGCCACGAGCCTCTGCCGCCTTGGCCGTAGCTGCAGCTAGACATTTCTGCAGGTCGGTCATAGGTACTGCGTGGCCAGAAGCTTCCAGGGAACACAAACGGATAATATCCTCAACGTTGACTTGAACCCGAAGACGATGAGACAGCAAAAGGCATACGCTGTCATAAGCTCAATCAACAGGGAGGGGAGTATGATAGATATACAGATGGAACTTCGCTGGGAGATCGCGTGCTGCTGCACGTGTGCGGTGCCGACGCTGTGTGTTGAGAGGCAGTCCGAAAGCTTCGCGTCGTTCTCTACACCCTCGCTCGCGCCGTGCTCGTCCGTGTGGGTTCGCCCAATGCGTGCCGCAGTGTGCGCGCGGATGATCGCGAATTTTCGTGCGAGTGAGCATGCGTGTGCGAGTTAACCACATGTCATACTGCATACGAAGGCATAGTTTCCTGCGGCAAATCTGTTTGAGTTTACCTTTTTCGTCGTTCGAGAACTCCTTTCTGCAGTATGGGCACACACGTATGGGTATGTTGCTAGGCTGGGTAGGAGGAAAGAGACCGCCAATCTGTGTACGTGGCACCAGGTTCTGGAACCATCCAGGGAGGCCTGAGTCCGATATAATGTTTGACCAAGCTGCTAGACATGTACGGCAGCGTGAACATGACTTGCACCCTAGCTCCTGCCATTCCCCACCCATACAGTAACCGTACTCGGTACATCTGAAACATGAACGACAATTCCGACACTTGCTGGCATCGCATTTTTGCTCTAATATGTGGGCGTCATTCGGGTGTCGAGCCATCAAGTCCGCGAGCTTCGTCTTGCCCGCGTCTGAAGACCACCCTCCAGGTGGCTCTGAGACCACCGCCTGTGCGCGACGTCCTCCCGCCTTCGGCTTGGCTCGTGCAGAGCGCGGAGCAGGGTGAGGGGCGGGAGGTGGTGGGGGCACTTCGGGTACTTCAGAGGGATCTTGAGGAACTGGAGCAAGGGCTGACGGGGGGAACGGCTGCTGCAGGGCAGCGCAGCATCGCAGCTGGGGCCCCCGAGGCGCAAAGTGGGGCCGCTGCTGCTGCGCTGGTACTCGAGCTGGCTGACTGCGCTGGCTGCACAGGCTGAGCAGGCATAGGTGGGCGGGGCTGTTTGCCTCGAAGACGACGGTGCTGCTGACGAGGGAAGCCTGCTGGAACCTCGAAGAACCCCTCAACTCCCCGAGACGCCTCTGGAATATTATGTTGCTCCCGAAGTTCTTGTTGGGCCTGCCCTCGGATTTTTGCTTTCCGAATTCGGGCCGCGGGGCCCTGGCGTCCACAATGCCGAGTATGCTTTTTGCAGCCCTTCCAAGGCCAGTAATACCCACAGAATTTGCATAAGCAGAGGCCCGCCGAGATAATGGTCATCTCACCCTGCTCGAGGTTAAGGCGAAGGGCACGACATTCTTGTTGTTCACGAAGGCCTCCGACAGCATGACGAGCCTCCCAGAGATCCCGATTGGCCTCGAGACGACGACCGTGCCTCCACTTACGCGTGAGTTTGGCCCACACAAGACGATTTTGTGCTAGTCCCGCCCGCTCCTCCCGCCAGCGCTCTTTGGGAATATCAGAATACTGCGTGAGAGCTTCAACCTTCTGCGAGAATGCCGTGCGAATCCTAAGCCTCGCGCCACCAAAGGTCTTGGCCGAGGTAAACTCTTCCTCGGGGTGAAGCCATACATTTTGACGGTCCAGTCGTTCGGGGGGAAGTCTCATTTGATGTCCCAAGAACTGTAGCCGCCTCCAGTCAATATAAATCTCTACCAAATCTAATTTCAGCTGCTGCCTAAGGTCCTGCATCGTCTTCTGGTCATCATGCATTCGAGAGCGGCGCTGATGCAAGAGTCCCAGCATGCAATTATTAATAAAGCCTTGGTAACGTCGAGTCTCCAGCTTAGTAAAAGAACGGCTTTCACAGCCAAAGAATAAACAGGCCAGAACCGTAGCCTTGAAGAGCACCCCCAGGTGCCTGACGTCAAGTCGCAGACGACTAAGTTGTGAGCAGAGCTTTCGCCAGACCATCCCCGCCTTCTGGAGGCGCTTTTCCGAATCCGCGGATTTATCCCCGTCGCTGCGCAGCCGGGCCCCCAGGAACCTCGCAGCCTCAAAGAGTTCTGGGGTCAACTCAGGGCCGGCGCACAGTCGTTCGTATTTGTCTGGGTGTACGGCTTCTGACCAGGATCCTAATACTTGTTCCAGGAGACGTTCAAGCTCGGGGCGGCGTGACTTACGAGAAAGCAGGTCGGTGTCGTCAGCGAACATCAACTCGAATAATTTGACCGCAGGGTGCTCCTCCAGGACCTGGTTACGAACCTGGGCAGGCCTACGAATGCGCGTGCCGATATCGAACTCGGTGTGCGACAGATCTATACATGCAATACCCTCATGTCCAGCGGCTAGAGCTTGTGGGCGAAAGTCGTGCATTGCAGACGCATGAAAAAATCAAAGCCACAAGGGCCGATGGGCAGCCCTCCTGAATCCCGCGGGCCAGTGTGTGCGCGTCCGGGAGCCCGTCCCGCATTTTCAATTGGTATTGCGCGTCGTCGTATAGGCCTCTCATAACATTATCCAGGGCCTCTGGGTCCCAATACGTTTCTGATTTGCATGCGCTGCTTCCCTGGCCACGCGGGCGTGCGCCTTCATAATATCGGCGCAAGTGGCAACTAATGGATCGAGGGCCTCACTCTTGCGGTAGTCAACTTCATTCGCTGCTTCCAGGAGGATCCCCGCAATCAAAATGTGGCCTGCCACTGAACGGTGACGGCGGAAACCAAACTGAGTCGGAGGCAGAAGGTGGTGTTCTTCAGCGTGTGAAAGTAAGCGCTGAGCTACCACGCGGGCAATCAATCGAAGTATAATACTTATCAATACGATCTGGCGGTGAGCGTTCGGGTCGGTGCGACTCCCTTTCCCCTTCCAGAATAACACCCCAAGCGCAGCCTTGGTACTCCCCTCCCACTGGGTATAATGAGTGCGCCACATAGTCTGGACCAACGTAATAATCCCCTCAATCATGTGTTCACCTGCGTACTTGATCATGCTGACTGGCACCTCATCTTTCCCCGCCGTGGACTCCTTCACGGCCAGAAACCAATGCCGAACCTCATCTCGTGTTGGAGGGAGCCCAAGATCTTACTGAACTGGCACAGCTGGTAGACCACGCTCCAAGGTAGCATCCTCGACATGTCCAGGAAGTCCAGAAACACTTTTCAGATGATTGGTCATCCTTTCACCAGTCAACTGTTCTGGCCCCTCACGACTGCGATCTTGCACGCATGCGCCGAGTCGCTTGAGGTGCCGATAGAATGCGCCCCAGTCGTTCGTAGCTGCGAAAGACATCACATCTTCTATGATCGGCCTTGCCCAGCGATGGCGTGCACGATGCTTAAGGCGAAAGATCTGACGGCCCAACGAGCGGTGCTCATCACGATAGCGCTGCTCATCCGACAAGGTCGCTGCGCGTTGCCAAGCTTCCCAAGTCTGAGCTCGTCTCCGGCGAAGGGCTACTATCTTCTCCATGTCTATCTCCAAGAACGGGGTGCCAACTTGGGCGTGCGATTTACCACGGCCAAGACCGTCTTCTGCTGCTATCACTATATGCTGGGCTAATCTCGACCACGTCATTCGTGTCGGCGGCGGGGCGGCTTCCATATCCACGTCAGCGTCACATACTGTATCAAGAAATCTGCAATCAGGATCAGTCGGAGAGTCCAGAACTTCAGCTTGTATAGGTTCAGGGTCTGGTGGGCCATCATCGTCGGGAGGTTCAGCGAACGCATCTTCAAGATCTTCAAAATGATCGTGGAACTCCTGATCCATCAGATCTCCAAGTGGAGGTAGTCCAGGTGGAGGCCGACATTCAGCTTGCATTCTGCCACCGACGAGAACCGACTGAGAACCAACAGCCATTGGCGACTGAGCCCAGGTTGGGTTCGAGGAGCACCCGCCTGGGACTTGCGTTCTAACGCCTTCCTGGGGTTGCGTTCTGATGCCGACGATGGCCGAATGGGATCCAGCAACCATTGGCGACTGAGCCCAGGTCGGTTTCGAGGAGCACTCGCCTGGGACTGGCGATCTGACGCCTTCCTGAGGTTGCGCCCTTGCGCCGTAAGCGGCAGCGCGCGGCGACGTAGCCCGAGGCAGGATCGAGGAGCTCCTTCTTGGGACTTGCATATCTGACGCCGGCCTGCCGATAAGATCCCAAAGCTTCAACCCCTGCTTGGCGCCCAAGTCTGCGTTGGTATCTGCGCGGTCGTTGCCGGCGTCGCCACTGTGCCCCTTCGCGCGTGCAAGTGCGAAGTCTCGCTGGCGACGGACTCGACGGTAAAAAGCTCGGCCCGTCGCAATCAACTTACGATTGGATCCAGGTCGCCAGTTGCCTACAGTCAGATTCATAGCATACTGTGAGTCATAATGAATAGTAATCACGTCGTTCGATGTCGCATTCTCAAGAATCCACTACGTCGCCATAATCATAGCAGATAATTCACCCGCGTTGTTCGTGAGTACTTCTGCTTCCAGAAAAAGCGGCCTGAGGTTCTCATTTTGGAGGATAACCACGGGGCCGTGATAATCTGTCCAATGTAACGTGCTCGCATCCAAGACTGCCGCGCCAGAACCCGCGCCATCCTTCGTGCCCGAACCGTCGGTGAAGGTGTGAGTGTGGCGGCCTGTTCGATGTTATGTGTACGATATGCATGCGAGCCTGGCTGGGGCTCCCATGTGGGGTCATCTCTAAGAAGCTGTTCTACGCGTTCTCGATGTGCACGCCGAAGTTCGAGTGCTCGTGCCGATGGGCCACGATATCGGTATAGACTAAACGGAGGTTTGCCTGCTTGCTCTTGAGCTTTACATGCGCGTTGAAGATGAAACTGCTTGCGTGCATGCGTGCGAGACTTGGAACCTGCAAGGGGCGCTCCGAGGTCTAATTGCTTGCTCATGTGGTCCGATCTGCCCCAAGACGTTAGATGTATGCCCAATACTTGTTTGTGTAGTTCACGATCCATACTATATTTGTCAATCTCGTACCAGGTTCCATTCCTGTGTTTCCAGGTGCCCCGAGACAAGATATCATACTACGAATCCGTATTGATCATATTCGTAGTTGTCAACCAGCGAAGAAAAGCCTTTCCCCCATCTGTTGTGTTTTGCTTCGTCAGATGTCCACCCAATTGCATGTCATTCGGCGTGGTGTCTTGTCCAGCATGTCCGTTCCAGCCCCCTGCTGCCGAGACTGGGGCCTGGCAGAGCTGGAGGCGTCGGTGGCGGAGCTGTGAGAGGTCATCGTGCACTTGTGACCTGTAGCCAGCCGTGCCTCCAGTGGGAGTATATACCGAGACCACCCACACCATATGAGATCCTTCAAGCAAAAGTGGAATAGCAACACGCCGATCACCCCAAAGGGTCACCAGATATCCATCGGAAACAAGCGTGGAGGATGCCGAACGCCAGGCAATCTGAGCGGGCATCGATCGAGAGAAACCGCATTTCTCAATCGTGATGAGGACGAACTCTTCGATCTTCACGATCGTGGGGGTACTATCGTCCAGCGCGAAAGTGCCATTGTGGAGCTCTGGGAGGAGACATCTATGTACATGCTGCCGCCGCTGCTCTAAGAAAAACATCTGGAGCTTGTCCCGGTTATCGAGCCTGCTCCAGTCAAGACCACCAATATTCCTGATCGAAAAGCGAACTTCCTGCCCAAGCCGCTGCCGCGACTGTCGGTGGGGGGTGACGAATTCTGAATTGATGCCGCCCCGCCCTGGTGGATGTAGATGTGCACTCCACATTGACAGGCTGCCGATCTATTGTTTTTGTATCCTTCTCAACGGTATCATAATGCCCAAGAGCCTTGGGCTGCTCTGTCGTACCGCTACCGCGATACAGGTACGAGAGTCGTCTAATCTTCGTCACCGAAGTCATCGTCATAAACGTTGGAGGGATTTAGTCGACGTGAGCTCTAACCACAAAATGAACAGGAAGAGACGCCGCTTCTCGTTGGCCCCGTAAGAGTCCCCTTCGCCAACGCGTAGAACTCCTTCAGCATAATCAGGGCGGCCATAGTGTCTGTGCTCATGCAATTGACCAAGTGAACACCGCCTCCGGTAGCGGCGGGCTCGACGGAAGAGACGCCTCGGAAACCAAAATCATGCACTTTGAAAAAGTGCAACCCGTTATCAATCACCTGCGGGGTTCCGGTCTGCTTGAAGTATTTGACGATGATGTTCTTCATCTCGCGGCTCTGGGTGCAGACTGTTGTAGGGTACCAGGTTTGAACAAGCAGGGGTTCCAAGTGCTTGGTGAGCCAGAAGCACTTCGGATCAGTGTTTTCCATCATGGAAAGCATGTTTTGGACGGCAGCACCGTGCCCTCTGGCACAGCTTTGATGCTGATTGGCTAGGAGCTAGCGTGATGGGTCGCGATGTACTCCCATGCCTGACGATTGAACAGGGTGTCATTGTAGTCCCACTTCGGATGAGAGAAGTGGATCTTGAAGTATTCCTCCGCGGCATCGATCTTGTCCATCGTCACCACTGGTCCTGTCATGTATTTCTTGATGTGGTACTGCAGACCGAAGAAGCACACTTCAGGAAACTGGCCGCCTCGGCACTCGAAGTACGAGTAGACCTTCTCGGTGCCAGGCGGGTACTGCAAGTGGTGGGTCACCTTGTAGGAGTCTGTTAGGATCACGATGTTGTTGAAGGTGTCCTCGGACTGCGAACTAAAAAACCACGTGAAGAGCTCCACGTATGGTACCTTCTGTGAACCCCGGGCCAAGTGGGAAGAGTCCAACAGGGCGTCCACGTCCTCCGCGGGCCACGCGCCCTTGTCGAGGTGGTGCAGCAGAGATGTGAACTCCTCCCTGGAGATGAGGCCATCTCCTGTCTTATCGAAAGCTTTGAACTCCTCCAAGATGTTCTGAAGGTCCGCCATCTCGCGTCCGGCTGCTGGGCGGGGATCCCCCAGAGTGCCCACCTCTTCGGACAGGCTGGCGGCTGGCGGCTGGCGCGAGCCCGACGCGGCTCTTGAGCCCAAATGGCTACGGAAGGAGAGAAGGAGGTCGAGGAGGAGGAGGAGGAGGAAGAGGAGGACGAGGAGGAGGAGGAGGAGGAGGAGGAGGAGGAGGAGGAGGAGGAGGAGGAGGAGGAGGAGGAGGAGGAGCCGAGGTCATCGGCGTTGACGGGCGGTGCACGCCGACAGAGCAGTAAAGGTAGTTCACGCTGGCGGTCAGCCGCGCAATGCGGCAGAACCGAGTCGGGCCTGCGAGGTGCCGAGACCCTGGGGTGGAGCAGAGGAGCCAAAGAGCCAGTGGCCATCAGCCAGGAGGCTGGGCAATCGCGGCCCAGCTCGTCCGAACTCTGGCGGATCGGACAAGCCGAGGCGGCCAATTTCTCGTCCTCGTGGGCTTCTGGACAAGCCGAGGCCAGGACCAAGACAACATCGGACTGGGGTAATTTGGGGATCTCTGAGACTCAACGGTTCTGGAGGACGTCTCGGGCGCCGCGGCCGACGCGCTGGAACGAGTTATCCCGGTCTTAGCCCTGCCCGGCTGGAGGTCCGCTTCGGGTCCGAGGGTCATCAGAAAACGACCCAGGATGGACAACTGGACCTGGGGGAGGGGTCAAGAGGGAAAACGGAACACACTGGGGCTGAACACAAGAAGACGGGCCCCTGCTCCAAAGACCAGACCTCCCATTCGCAGAGCCTGGATTCTCCCTCCTCCTCTTCCTCTTCCTACCACTTCTTCCTCCTTCTCCTGCTACTTTTCTCTCCCCCCCGCTGCTCCTTCTACTTTCGTTCCCCCTTCCCTCCCACTCTCCCTTCTCTCCCTCTCCCTTCCCCCTGTCCCTGTCCCCTTGCCACCTCGGCCTGCTCTGCCTTTCGCCCCTCCCACCCTTGTGAGAAGGAGTGGATGATGATGCTGCTGATGATGATGACGACGATGATGCTGCAGATGATGATGATGATGATGATGATGATGATGATGATGATGATGATGATGATGATGATGATGATGATGATGATGATGATGATGATGCTGCTGCTGCTGCTGCTGATGACGATGCTGCTGATGATGATATTGATGCTGATGATGTTGCTGATGATGGTGCTGAGGAGGTTGATGGTACTTGTGATACTGATGCTGCTGATGATGTTGTTGATGATGAGGGTGATGATGCTGATGATGGTGATGACGATGATGCTGCTGATGATGAGAACGATGCTGACCATTAGGATGATGACAATGATGGCGATGAAAATGATGATTGCAGTCTGTTGCTGATGCTGTTGATGATGCTGAGGATGATTCTGATTCTGGTGATGATGCTGATGATGCTGTTGTTGATGATGGGGTTGATCATGATGATGCTGGTGATGATGGTGATGATAATGCTGCTGCTGATGATGATCATGAGCATGAATCCGAAGATTCTGATGATGATGCTGATGATGATGATGATGATGATGATGATGCTGCTGATGATGATGCAGACGATGCTGCTGCTGCTGCTGATGATGATGATGCTGCTGCTGCTGCTGCTGCTGATGAGGGGGGGCTGGCAGGGGAGGAGGATGCTTCGACATCTGATGGCTGGGCCCCTGATGCGCAGGTTTTGGGTTCGCTGGGCCCGGGCTCAGGGTTGCCAGCCCGAGAGTTGCCGTACTCATTGGCAGGAGGATGACGAAAGGGAGCAAAGCGCCCTCGTCAAACACCGGCTACTCAAAAGCAGCCAAAACCTCACAGATCCGCCACCGTGCCCACTGGCAGGTGGGGGCGTGCTATAATGCCAGGTGCTGTCTGGTAGGGTCACTGTAATTTGCGAAGGCCCCCCTCCGCCCGCGGGCCGCGCCCAGGGGCATGTACCGCCCTCTGCCCGAGGCCACAATCCATCGCAACATGCGATGCCTCCAAGACGGCCCAATATCGCTCCAAGACGGGCCACTCTGGCCTGAAGACCGCGCAAAATATCTTCAAGACGGCCCACGAGTCCTTCGAAGCGTCCCAAGAGAACCCCAAGCGCCTTCCCAAGAGGGCCTCGAGATGCATACATACATGATATTTCTTAGGTTTTCCAATGCTTTTCGGGTTCTCGCCTATTCGAGCTTCCGACGTCCCAAGACGAGCCAAGAGGCCACCAGGACTGCCCCAAGACGGCCCAAGAGGCCCCCTAAGAGAGCCCCAAGACGGCCCAAGAAGGCTCCAAAAATGCCAAAGAGGGCCCAGGGACGGCCCCAAGAAGGACCAAAAAGGGTGAACACGAACCGATAAGTCGAGCCTTCCGCCCCAAGAGGGCTCAGGAGCACCAAGAGAGGGCCAAAAGAGGCCCCCAAAAGAGGGCCGCGAGAGGCAATAGCTATTGCTTCCCATTGCTTTTTCAATATTAAGGTTCTCGCCTTTTCTAGCTTCCGACGCTCCAAGACGGCCCCCAAGACTCTCCCGAAACGGCTCATGAGGCCCTCAAGAGAGCCCCAAGACGGCCCAAGAGGGCTCCAAGACGGCCCAAGAGGCGCTCAAGACTGCCCAAGAGGGCTCCAAGGGCCCAAGAGTGGTGCTAACATGGACCCAGAATTCAAACTTTCTGTCCCAAGAGGCCCCCAGCAGGCCCCCTAGCCTTCTCGAGTAGTTGCTGCCCAGAATTCTGCGCTGTCACGGTGGCGGACTTGCGGAGACAGCTGGATAGTGAGACTCGCCCGTGCTGGTGGACCATGACCCCTCTGGCCAGGCTGAAGGTTAGCGCCGGCGAGCGCCACCTCTCGCGGCGCTCCCTGCGTACCTCAAGCCCACCCATCCCCTGCCTCTGCCCTCCTCCCTCACTCCTTCTCTCCTCCTGCTGTCTCTCCCTCCCCTGGCGGCTATTCAGGCGCTCAGCAGCAGCCCTTCTTCTTCTTGCTGGTCTTGACCTTCTTGGACGACTTCTTCTTCTTCTCCTTCTTGGCTCCGTCCGCCACCGCGACAGCCGCGACGGGCTCTTTCATCTCAGGCACCGGTGCCGTCGCCGTGTACGTGCCGCATATCATGGGGAGGAAGCCATCTGGCACCCCGTGGGGGAAGAACTCCGCGACCTGCTCTGGCGCCATCGGTGCCGCTGTGGCGACGTCTGCGGCCGTCACCGTCGGCATGAGTTGCTTGGTGTCGGCGGAGTAGTACACCTGGATGCCCATAGCCGCAGACATGCGGACCTTCTTGGCCAGTGGCGCAGCGGCGGTCGCGACAAGACTGGAACTCCTCCTTGAGCCAAATCGGCTCCAGAGGAGGATGACGAAGAGGAGGATGACGCCAAGGAGAAAGACGAGACGAGGGCAAGTGAACCTTTCGCCCATCCCCTCCAGCAGGGGGCGGGCAGTCGGCGGCGAAATCTCCCCCCCTGGGAGGACGCGCGCTGGCGACCCGCCCATGAAGAAGAGCTTCACGATGCGAGGGGCCCAATCTTCTGGTCACTCGCAAGAAATCGCGCCAGAGCTTTTTCGCTGTTTCCCTCTCGGAGTCTCGTCCAAGCCCCCTGGCGGTTGCACAGCGACTCAAGACTAGTAGCTGGTCCTGGGGAAGGGGTCGTGAGCTCCAGGGGCCGGCGACTCGAAAGAGTCGAGTCGTCGAGCGTCTGGAGGGGGAGGAGGAGGGCAAGGAAGCGGTGAGGGGGCTTCTCTCCGCTACGTCGCGTCTCCTCTCCTCTCTTCCGCTCCCTCCCCCCTCCTCCCTCCGTCTCTCCCTGGCTCTGTTACCCAGCCGTCCTGTCCTCTAGCTGATCATCATCCTGCTCCTCATCTCCCCCACTCCCTTCTACTCTTCCCCCCCCCCTCCCTCCTACATTCCTTTCCTAGGGAAGAGCTCCTGACGAGCTCCTCCCTGTCGCACACCGGGGCTGGTCGAAAGGGCGGGCCGGACGCTTCGCTTGAGGCTTCCGCTCCATTGATGATTCTGAAGCTTGTGCTTTGCAATAGTTTCACGGACGGAGGGCGGGCCGCTTTCAAAATGTGGCTGTCGCCTTAGCGCCGCGCATGGTATTCTTTTCGAACTCAAAGAATCTCAACAATTCCAACGGTTCTATGTTAACATGCCAATGACGGCGTTCCGGCACGACATCGGAGTGTCAGGGCGCAACAGTTGCATTGATTCGTGGTGTTGAAGTCCCAGAAATAGTATCCTGGCAGGATTCAGGATCGTCGAGGCGCAACAGTAACGGTGATTCGCGGCGTTGAAATCCCAGAACATGTGTTATGACACAGTTAACGATTTTCCTGTTATCTCTTCCAACGGGGCACTTCTCCCAGTGAAAATCAATATATGTAGGTGCACTCCTCCTCCTTCCAGCATGCGTTACGCCGTTCATTTCGGCACACCCATCACGCAGATCGCGGCCAACATGGAGCTCTACTTGTGGCCCCAATGGATGCAAACTATTTCGGCACACATGTTACACTCTTCGTGCGCCATGGTGAGCTCCGCTTGTGGCCCTGGGGTGGGTGCCCTCATGGCATCCGCACACGCGATTCGGCGCGTCCATCACGCAGTTCGTACCCGACGCAGGGAACCTATGTCCAGTGGAGGTGCTCACATGGCGTCTCCGCGCCCATTTTGGCACACCCCTCATGCGGATCGTGCTCTTCATATAGAGCTCCACCTGTGGCCACCTGAGGGTTGAGGAGGAGGAGGGGGAGGAGGAGGAGGAGGAGGAGGAGGAGTGGGAGGAGGAGGGGGAGGAGGGGGAGGAGGAGGAGGAGGAGGAGGAGGAGGAGGAGGAGAGAAGATTCGCCAGGATAGTTTTTTTTCGCCAGGGATAACCTTGGAGGGCTCCTGGGGCTTCGGCGGGGCTCGTGGGAGCTCTCTGTGGAGCTCCCCGAAGCGAGGAGCGGCCGCAGCACCGACCCCCGAGCCAGGGGGAGCGCGAGCAGCTGGCACGGATGACAAAGTGGGAGGGGAGCGCAGGCGAGGGGGGGAGGCGAGAGCCAGCGGATGGCAAAACCGAAGTGCGAGGCGATGGGGGAGCGCAGGCGAGGGGCGCCAAGCAGACGGGAGGTGCATCAGGGAGGCCCCTCCTCCGCCTCCTCCTTGTCCTCCTTGTCCTCCTTGTCCACCTCCTCCTCCTCCCCCTCCCCCTCCTCCTCCTCCTCCTCCTCCTCCTCCTCCTCCTCCTCCTCCTCCCTCCTTCTCCGCCTCTTCCTCCTCCTCCTCCTCCCTCCTTCTCCGCCTCTTCCTTTCCTTCTCTTCCCTCCTCTTGCGCTCTAGATATCATGGCGCCCTCTGCCGCGAGGTGCAAATGGAAAAGGCCCTGGCGAGCAGCTCGGTTGCGACCCCGAGCGCCCTGGCGAGCCTTGGTCCACATGGACTGCGAGTTAAAGGCAGCGGCCTTGATGGCAATCGCCCTGGCCTTCTTGGACGGGCTCGGGGCGGGCAGAGACTGGCTGCAGACTGCGCCATCATGACCCGGCATGACGCACTTGGGGGCTCCCTGGTCGGTCTGAGACAAAGCTCAGGATGAGCTTGACCATCGGGCCGACCTTCCTGTTATAATCTGTTAATCCACTCCCAGGCCCGACTGGGCCCTTGGCGGATCGCGTGAATCCAGTCCTGTGGCAGGTCCATGGGGGGGGGCGTCCTTTGGTCGTGGCCTTGGCGAGGTTGTCCGCGAGCATTTTCCACGGGCGCCCAGCGCGCGCCTTCTCGCGATGAAGATGGGCCCGGCGTCTGCTCTACACCAGTCCCCAAACTATACAAGCTAGGCGCGCAAATTCTTCTTCGCTCTTAGGGAGCTGGACCCTTGGGCCGCATGGATAGGCTCTCGCAGTGAGGAATTCAACGTCAAGGGGGCGACGATGATCTAAAAACGCGCCCAAATTAACCCCGGAAGCTCGAGGGCAGTGCTAATCGCCCTCTCGGCACTCAGTCCCATAGAGCTCGTGCTTTCCACGGTCCCGCGCCGATCCCCCAGGGTGAAACTCCTGCAGCCCAGCGGCCGCGACCACGGCTGGCGGTGGCCGCATATAGAGCCCGGCCCTCGTCCGATCCAAGATCCCCTTCCACGATGTGGGTCGCTGCCGTGGCGCCATCTGTCGCGCTGTGGCTCGGACCTGAGATCTCCTCCGCGGGCTGTGAGATCGGCTGCGTAGTTATCAGAAGCCTGGGGTCCACTGGCCTGATGAGCTCGGTGTTCTGTGTATTATGAGGCGCACCTCCCCACGTCTGTGTCGGGCCGAAAATCTCGCCATGGGCGTGCGGGTCCTTCTGCGTCGCCTCGGACGGCTGGGGCGATACATGGATCGGCGACAAGACCTGGGCGCTCTGAAGGCCAGTCAGCTCCTTCGCATACAGGAGGGCTTCTGCACTGCTCGCCGCTGCTGGCTGTGGTCCCACTGACGGCGGCGTCGGGTGTGGCCCCTTTGTTTGCGATCCGACCAGGCCACTGAATCCCACATCTTGCACCTCCTCCTCCTCCGATGCGACGGCCTGGTGCTTCGCCTTGGAGAGGTCCTGTTCCTTGACCACTGCTTCGCGCTTGGGGTTCGGCGATGGCGAGGGCTGATAGGGCAGTTGTTGAGGTTCTCCTGGAGTCAACCATGGCATGAAGACTCCTCCTTTCCCCGCTCCTTTCTGCGCTGTCCACGGCTGCTGCGTCATGAAGGACATCATCGACTGCATCGCTGCGGGCGTGAGCTGAGGCAAGTGCTGCATGATCGGGTTGGTGGCTGGAGCTGGGGAGGGCCCTGGCATCCATGGGCTCGGGGACACAGCTGGTGAAATCTGAGGTTCTGGAGCTGGCGCGAATGGTGACGTCGCTACCTGCGGGGGCCTTGGAGGCGGCGGGGCGACGTTTTGAGACGCGGCAGCTGCCTGCCGTTGGGCGATTTCCTTCTGCTCCTGAACCTCCAACTCCCTCAGCGCTGCTTCCATGGCGTCCACCTGCTCTACCTTCGCGTCCTTCTCGGCGATGAGGCTCTCTATCTTGGATTCCATTTTCTGGATCTGCACCGTGGTGGTCGCGATCTCGCACTTCAGATGGGCAGTGCGTGTCGCAAGTGGGTCGAGGGCGGAGATGGTGTACATCGTGATCGCGGTCTCCTGCATGGACGGTTCGCCCTCCGCCCCCGACCTACTTGTGGCTAGTACCAATTGTGCCAACAGCTCGATCGAGTGATGTCCTCGCGATATGCCACCCGCTGAGCATTCGTCTGAGGCGGGCGCAAGAACTTGTGGTGGGCCTCCGCTACCAACTTGGTCGGCACATGGATGCTGTCCACCAAATTATTTATCTCTGCCCATGTGGTCGGGCCCCTGCGCCATTGGTCGGCATCAAACGATACGGAATTCTTTCTGTAGGATGCTCTTGAGTTTGGCGACTGCCCCGTGCCTTGCTCGATGAACGTCCTGGTATGCTCTTGCTCTGCGGTCGAGGTTGCCATTTGAATCCGCACAAGCACTGTCAATGTCTCAATTGAACGTCCCTGCTGCATCGCTGGCATCGCCAAGTGTGATCAGACATGCGATGGGTATGAAGCCAAAGCGAGTCCACAGCGCCTGGTGCTGCTGTGGAGGCCTGAAAGATGACATGGAACCTGCGAAGACTCGGGCCAGCCCCTCGCCGGCGTCCAAGCTGAAGCCGCCAAGGGTCCGCGGTTTCAACTTGAGCCGAAATGGCTACGGATCTCCTCCTCCTCCTCCTCCTCCTCTTTCTCCTCCTTCTCTCTCCTCTTCCAGGAAGGGGATCACGGAAACCAGTGGTGGAGACGACCGCGGACGGGCCGCGAAGATGGGCGCACCGACTGCCAGACGCTCATGAGGACGTCGAGGTCATCTCCGCTGCCCGCGGGTCTGGAAAGCCACGGCACCTGCCCTCCCCGACGAGCAAGTCGATGATGATGACGACGATGAATAAGAATATGATGATGTCGGCAATGCTGTCGAGGATGGCGATGTTGCTCTCCGCTTGGTCTGCCTGCGGGCTGGGAGAACCCCAGGCACTTCACAGACAAGTTCTTGCCATCTAGAGGCTTGGAGCACGCCCGCGCGACTTCAGCGCAGCGACGACACCGAGTCGCAAACCGCGCGCGGGATTCCGTGCTCCACTCGCCGCGTCGCAACCACCCCGATCTCGGAGCGAGACCACCCCCCGCCGTCGCGGAGCGAGACGCCCGCAGACGCGAACCATAACGCTTCCCCCGCATGAAGGGGCCCGCGTGGGAGCAGAGGCGAGAAACGAAATGTCCCCACCCCCCCTGGGCGCGCGTGATGGGGGGGGGGGGGGCGGGATCCGGGCGGCGCGAGCGCGCACTTGAGCATCCGCCCCCCGCCGTACTGACGAGGGGGATGCGTGCGCGCTTCTTCTGGCAGATCCCTCCTCCTCGTTCGCCTCCATCAGTGCTCCTTATGGATAACTCCTCCTCGCCTGACCGCCCGACGTGTCGGTGGGGCGGCCAGGCGTTTCGCCTGACAATTCCTCCCCATGTGTGGCCCTGGAGCTTGACATATCCCAACAATTGCACGAGTGGAGGGGGAAACGGTTTTCAAACTTTGGCTCTCGCCTTGGCGCCACGCGCGCTCGTCTTGAAGCAATCCAGGAATTACACACATGGAGGGGAGGCGGTCTCGAAATGTGGCTCTCGCCTCAGCGCCGCGCACATTCGTCTTAGCACATTATGATGGCTACACTAGAGGGGTGCCGAATCCAACAGGTGGCTCTCGCCATAGCGCTGCGCGCGCTTTTCCTAAGCAGGTCCAACATTTTCAAGGATGGAGGGCGGCTCCTTTTCAAAATGTGGCTCTAGCCCTAGCACCGCGCACATTTCTAAATCCATTCCAGCATGTACTCGGATGGTAAAGGAGGGCCGTTTTCAAAATACGGCTCTCGTCCTAGCGTCGTGCACGATCGTTTCAAACAGTACCATCCGTTACATGAATGGACGTTTTTTTCCCACAAAGCAGCTGCCAAGCTGTGCAACAACTACATGGATGGACGACGGCTCCTTACCAAACCAGGGTTCTCGCTTGATGATTTCTCAAGTTTTGTGGCCAGCCGTTCAAACTTTGAGAGCTTTTGCGCGGATTGAGGGCGGCACTTTTTTGAAGCGGTGCTCTCGCTGGAAACTTCCTGGAACTCTATTAGACTTTCCAACTTTCAAAGAAGCGAGCACGCCACTCGTCCATGACCGCAGCCTGCGGCATTGAAGTGCAAGGTGTAAGACCGGCAAGAGACACAGTGGACAGCATGGTTGCCAACATCTGCCTGGGTGGAGGGAGGGAGGAGAGGATGAGAAGGACGAGGCAGAGGACGGGGAGCAGGAGAGGGAATGTAAACTGCTGGCCCTAGTCTCGGGGGAGACTCGCCTCTTGAACTTCACTGGTGTCCAAACAGTCGTCACCGCACTCGTATACAGTCGGGGCGTTGACCTAAGGAACCCTAAAGAAGGAACGAGGCCTCTTCTTTCCATTCGACCTAAGGCGAAAACGTCAGAAACACCTGAGGCGAACTGCAAAACGACTAAGGAACACTGCGCCCCTTCCAAACGCAAAGGCTTCCTTCTTCAGCGCCCCGGCTGTAGTTAAAGGTGCGCACGACATCTCCTTTTCAAACCGAGCCTCTTGCCCGAACTGCAAAACCATGGGGGGTGCTCGTCTTTCCAGGGGGAGAGAACTCTTGTATGGGGCATGCGAAGAGAGGGCTTGGGACGGCTGGTTGAACTGCAACATCGCTGACGCATCTTCGGCTTACTCTGGTCCCCCCCGTACCCCCCCCTCTGGGCCTGCCGCGGTTGTCCGCCGTGCCGTCGCCCTCCGCCCTCCTCCGCCCACCTCCTCCTCCTCCTCCTCCTCCTCCTCCTCCTCCTCTTCCTCCTCCTCCTCCTCCTCCTCCTCCTCCTCCTCCTCCTCCTTCCTCTCTCTCTCTCTCTCTCTCCCCCTCGCGTCTCGCTGGCCCCTGCCCACCGGAGGCCCCCAGCCAGAGGGCGGCAAAGGAATCTGCGACGAGTTGCGGCTCCCGGGGCCGAGCCGTGTCCTGAGCGCCGCGAGGAGCAGGAGGAGGAGGAGGAGGAGGAGGAGGAGGAGGAGGAGGAGGAGGAGGAGGAGGAGGAGGAGGAGGAGGAGGAGGAGGAGGAGGAGGAGGAAGAGGCGGAAGAGGAGGAGGAGAAGAAGGAGGAGGAAGTGGAGGATGAGGAGGAGAAGGAGGAGGTGGAGGAAGAGGCTTACTCATGATGATGGTTATGCTTATGCTGCTGATGATTATGCTGATGATAGCGATGTTGCTGATGATGCTGATGATGCTGATGATGACGATGACGATGGCAACGACGACGACGACGATAATGATGATAATGAAGATGATGCTGATGATGCTGCTGATGCTGCTGCTGATGATGATGGTGATTATGATGATGAGGATGCAGAGGAGGATGAGGATGAGGATTGTGATGATGATCATGCTGCTGATGATGATGGTGATGATGATGATGATGCTGCTGATGATGATGATGCTGATAATGATGATAATGCTGCGGAGGAGGGGGTGTAGATGAGGGGGAGGAGGGTGGAGAAGGAAAAGGAGGAGGATGAGGAGGGGAGGTCGAGGAGGAGGAGGAGGAGGAGGAGGAAGAGGGGGAGGAGGATGTTGGCAGGAGGGTGGGACATGAGGGGGTAGTTGTCCAGATGTGACCGCAAGCGCAGCAGGGGGTGCAAAAGCGGACTCGTCCAGGGGTTCTACGGAGGAGAAAGAAGCAGTTTCCAGCACATCGCTCACGAGGAGGGCCAACACGAGGGTGTAACGCGAGATCGCTCAAGCGCGCGAGCCAGCGCAAACACAAGCGAAAAGCACGTGAATTCCGAACACGCGAACGCCCAAACACGCGTTCAATTAGGGCGCAATCACGTCCGTGGCGGCACCGCCTTGGCGTTTCAGAGATTCAAGAGGAGAAAGAAGAGGACCACGAGCAGGAGGAGTCGAAGGAAGAGGGATGATGAGGGGGGCTCGCGTACTCATGGGGAGGGCGAGCTGGGGGAGGAAACGGAGGAGGAGGAGAAGGAGGAGGAGGAGGAGGAGGAGGAGGAGGAGGAGGAGGAGGAGGACTAGCATCGAGCACTCAAAGGAATGGAGGGGAACTGCCCAATGGCAGCCGGTCTTGACAATGTGCTCTACTTGGAGCGGACGGGCCGAGTGCCCTCGTCATGTTCACATGACGACATCGTAGTTGGCTTCTGGCACCGCACGGACGTTCGATGTTGGCCGAGCTCAGGCCGCCAAAAGCCTTCAACCGCAGCCGCCAGCGCTGGCGTCGCCGCCGCGTCGACGCGACGCGGGCCCACCGCACGTCTGCTCGTGGGCATGGCGATCCAGCGCCCACGCTGTGCAGGAGATGGGTCGCATGCGCTCTGGGCGCGGCCTGCGAGCCACGGATGGCGCGACCGACCAGCGCGGCGGGCTGCAACGGCACCAGGAAGGCCGCTATCCTAGGCCAGCCCCGCCACTGTCAGCTCGGCACGGGAAAAGGGGGTCGTGAAGGAAGCGTGTCACGGACCCTGGGGCCTTCTCCAAGATCAGCCTCTTATCATGGACAGTCTTTTGGGTCCGGGGCCCCCAGAAGGCCGAAAACGGTGAAAGACCCCAGGACCCCTTTCCCTGAGGAGCCATTCCCCAAGCTGTTTCATACCCCCTACCCCCCACACGCTATCCCGCCCTTGATCAAGGGGCATTCTTCGGTCTCACCAAACATTGTTTTCGCGCAGACTTTCAACCTCGCGAGATTTGTGTCGGCAGCATTGTGGCGTTCAAGCAGGTTCCAGGAGACATCGAAGGTTCGTTTTCAGGTGTGTTCGCCAGCGTGAAGCTCCCATAAGGTCCGTCCTGCCCCCTCCCCCCCCCAAAGCGCACCGAACCCGCCCAAGGACGCGATGCCCCCCCCCCCCCGCCCCGAGAAGGGCAACCCATTCCCGCCCTCTGCGCGATCCACTCTCCTGCTGGAATGGTCGAACAAACCGGAGCAGAAGTTTTCCTCGTGCCGATCCACACACCCTCGAAGCGGGTGGGCAGCACGGCCAGGCCGCGTCGCGCCACCTCCGTCTGCGGGCGCGGTCGCAAGCCCCAGGGCGCCGCTCCCCCCTCTCGGCGGCCCCCTCCTCCCCCCCTTCCATTGGGGGACAGCAGAACGGATGTCCGCGCGGTTTTCTTAGATCTGCGCTGGATCCCCCCTCCCTGGCGCGCGGAGCACGCATGGGGGCGGCGCCGGAGGCGCCGCCAGGAGGGCCCAGCGCCGAAATCCGTGCGGACCTCCGAAAGATTACGGCCAGGAGCTGCGGCGCCGGCCCAGGCGACACGCCGTGCCCTACAGGCAAGCAGCGCGTCGCTCTGCCGGGCGGAACGGGAAGACGGGGAAAGCTTGGGGCGTTGGTGCCCGGGGGCCAGGAGGGGGACAACGTGTCGCGCCGAAGCGTGGTGGGCCAGAACCAGCGGCGCGACACGCTAGGCCAAAGATCCTGACCGCATGGTCGTGCAGCTTTTCTTCCCCAGCTCGAGGCCGCTGCGATCCCGCGCTGCAAAGTGATCTTGGCGAAGGGCCCAGCGATTTACAGTTGTGAGTGCCCCAAAGCAGGTGGGACGACGGAGGGGAAGCTCCCGATGGGGCCACGAAACATGAGAGGGTGTGCCGAAGTGGGTGGGGAGCCGCTTGTGGACCCTGCCACTTGGGCTGTCATTGGAGCTCCCTATGAAGCCAAGAAGCGTGTGAGATGTGCGCCGACCTGGGGCGGGGCCGGCATGCGAACTTTGCCACTGAAGCCTTCGATGGAGCTCCGTATGGAGCCACGACACGTGTGAGGGGTGCGCCGAAACAAAAACATGCGGAGGGCAGAGGCAAGGGATGGGAGGAGAGAGGAGAAGAGGAGAGGCGGTAGGGCGCGGGGCGCCATCTCTTCAAAACGAGGACCCAACACCACAAGATGGTTCGGGTAAAATGCAACATCGCAGAAAATCACGACCGGAGCTCTAGACCCCATCTTTCTGCACCGTTTTTCGAGCCGGATCGATCTGTGAGACCCAGGGCCTGAAACTGCGCGAACACGTCCAGTGTGAAGGAGAATGCAACGCCCCCCTCTGAGGGGCCGAAGCGTGGTGGGCCAGGGCTGGCGGCGCGACGCGCGAAACCAAAGATCCTGACCGTATGGTTACAGTGCGGGCGCGGCCGCAAGACACCCTCGCAAGAAACCCAACCCTGAGAACCCGTGCGCGAGGAGCACCTGAAGGGAAACCTGGAGCACCCTGAACGCAGCTCCTTCAACGGCTGCGGGATGTCACCGCGCAGCGCGAGGAGCGAAGAGACCTAGGATACCCTGACGAAAAGCACATGGTTTCTTCATGCGTGCCC